ATTTTGTTCCAGCTTGTACCACCCTATCCTCTACAGTCCTGGCTCTCCTCTGCATGCTCAGTTCGGTCCATGGCTGTCCTGGACTTTGCATCTGCTCTGGTAACTCCACCAAATGCACTGGGGTGGGCCTTGTGTCTCTTACCCCCATCATGTCCCTGCTAGACCAGGACCTACACGAGCTGTACCTTTCCCAAAACAACTTCTCCTCTCTGGATCACTTGGAACTGTCCAACCTCAGCTCCCTGGAACTCCTGGATCTGTCAAACAACCATTTTTCATTCCTACAAGGGGGAGTGTTTTCCAGCCTGACAAATTTAAGATGGCTGAATTTGTCTGGGAACTACCTTGGAGGTCAAATGACAGCCCTATCTGGTCACATGAACAATTTGGAGATTATTTTTGGACTAAATCAAAGTCATGGAAGTATTGGGATCAGTAAGGATGTTTTCAGAGGATTGTTGAGACTACGAGGGTTGGACCTGTCACTGAATGGGTTACCATGGCTGCCCAAAGGCATGCTGGACGTGCTAGAGGGGCTGACCTGGTTGTCTTTAGCTGGAAACAGGCTCACATCCCTGGACAGAGCTACCTTCGAGCCCCTGGTGAGGCTACAGCACCTCCAAGTCAGTGGAAATGCCTGGGTCTGTGACTGCAAACTGAGGGACTTTAAGCACTGGATGGAGTGGCTCATTTACAGAGGTGAGAGAATGAGACACTTATATTGCACATCACATTGTGATGTCATTACAATTAAAATTTGGGAGCTCCAAAGAACTGAGGATTTTTCTTTTGCACATTTTTTGTCTTAATAGTTTTATTGCATGTGCATGTCTATCTACAAATAAGCCTTGGACACTGTGATAGTATCAGATTATTTTAGATGATACAGTACGATGTGTAAGTCCCCACTAACAAGTAAATAATAAGAATCCGTTTTAATTCATTTAGCAATTTGTGCCAAGTGATTCTCAGTAAATTGAGAAGTCCAGCAGTCATTAAGCAACTTTTTTCTGCTAACAGGTCCGGGGGAACAATCCAAAAATTTGCATTTAGACTGGATGTAGTTTATTCATTTAGCATTAACTTTAAGTTTAGCTGCTACCTTTCGCCATCAACAATGAAGACATACTGTGCATCACATCCACTTACAGGTACCTGGATAACTTCCAATGTCAGTAATTGCAATGAAATTCCTGACCAGTGTAGACCTCATAGTCTTTTGAGAGAAAACAAAAAAGCACAGTCCATTCACCATCTCAAACACCGCACCTCAAAACCTCTCCATATGTACTATTAATCTTTGCACTGCACTAAGATTGTCCTCTGAGCTGTGACATCTAAGAATATAATGACTTCAATCTCCTTCCTTCACTCCCCTGTTGTCTGCTCCTTCTTCCTCCCTTTGTCAACTCTAATTTATTCTGCTCCATTCTTCTGTCTATGTGTTTTAATAGATGGGCAGGTGGACTCGATGCGCTGCAGTCTCCCGGGGAATCTCAAAGACCGAGACATCCGCAGCGTTCCGGCCGAAATGTTCAGCTACTGCCTGCACCAAAAGACAACCAAAGCACACTCGACCACCACCACCACCACCAAGGATGCCCACTCCACCTACGCCACCAGGCCGCCATGTCCTCCAGGTCGCATCCAGAGTAACGAAGATTGTGTCCGCCAGCGCTACCGTCCAGCGAGTGTCAGGAGGGCCCACGGAACACAGATCATCGCGGGTGTGGTTTGCGGGACGGTGTGTGTTATGATGGTGGTGGCTGCGACGTACGGTTGTGTCTATGCGTCCTTGATGGCCAGGTACCAGAAGGAAGTGAAGAGCAGGGGCCAGCCACTCATGGCAGAGTCCGGGGCAGATACGGATCTGGAAGACGGGCAGATGTCTCCGAATTCTCCAGAAGCATCACCGCCTAAAGAGTCCAGTGGTTTTGTGCATGGTTACAGGATCAGCAGCTTCTGACCAGTACTGACCAGAAAGACTATCCAGGTCCTTGGTGTGTTCTATCAGTGGGATATGTTCCTATGTTCCAGCGTTATCCTAATATAGGGCTAGTATTGAACTCTCAGTATCAATCTTTCCTTTTAGCTTGTTCCTTTTTGTAATGATCTGCAAACAATAGTGCACAGTCATTTGCATATTGGTTTGGCAGAGGTTTTATGTCAGATGCCTTTGCTCTATATTTATCTAGGCTTGGGAATGGCAAAAGTGTACACTGGCTGTACCACTGTAGCTGGACTAGATATCAGTATTACTACATTATAATAGGACAGCAAAGTTTGTACACATTTGTTGCTGAAATGTAACTATCAAGTAAATGAGCAAAATAAGATTTTAGTCTAAACCACGCACATCCTTTGATTTTTTTATTTTTTTTTTTTTTGCTATTACACCTGGTTCAAGACTTTTAGGAGACATAACATTTGTAGTAACAAACATAACATAACATATCTCTTCAACCACTATACTGTTCTGGTACAGGGAATTTGTTGTCACTCCCCTGCTAACAACAACTAGCATGTTTATTGTGTACCAACTTTACGTTTTGGTTCATGGTAGATAAAAACATTTTATAATTAGATGCCAACAGCGGTCTAATTTTGACCACACAAGCAAATTTAACAATATATCTGTACTGGTGCAAGACAAATTAGACTTTATTACATGAAAAAAATCTAGTACAGCCCCTTTAAACTTAATGCATATCATTTTATAAGTTTTGTCAAACACCATTCTTAACTTTTTAAAATAAATTGCATTATGTCTGGCTAACCTCTCTCCTTCCCAAACTTAATATCACCTCCCCTCTTTGCAGTCATATTCCCTTGTGTTTAAATAAGCCAAAGTCAGAGTGAGGTGAGATATTGGTGGGACAAGAGGGAGCTTAATATCTGGAGAGGAAAGCCCTGTGGTGCTGTGATAACGTTGTAGTCTCTGGGCAGGGACTGTTGTGCTTCTAATGGGGCAGACTCAATTCAAAGACAAGCCGAGACTGCAGAGGCTGCTCTAATGTATGTGTGCTCCGTGCATTCTAATTCCCAGTGCTGCATCTCTAAGACTAAACTCCTCTGCAACTGCCGTTTGGCACCTCGTTCTCTTTAGCAATATTTTGGTTTAAAAATATATTATTATCTATATGTCTATGTGCATCCTGGAATGAAATTTAAAAACAGGGGTGGGTAGTACTGATTTAAGCAAGAAATTATACTTCTCAGCAACATATTTTACTATGTAACAATAATATTTCTTGCCTATAACTTTTGATTAGTCCTACAGCTATGAGTAAGTAAGTGCAAAAAGCTTTTTATTATCATTATTAAAGGACTTGAACATTTATGTTTCTTAATCGAATGAACGAATGATACACGGATTCTTTTTCAGGTATGATTTTGCTTTTATTTATTTTTGTGGTTTATCCTTTGAAAATTCCAGATTTATTTTAAGCATTATTTATATTTTGTCCTTTGAACTACATTCATCCATATACATCCAAACAATTACTCTTACTTGAGTAATTTCTTAGATGACTACTTTGTACTTCTCCTGGAGTACTATTATTTAAGTACAATTTGAATATAATATTAAGCTGCTCTATCCACCTCTGTTTAAATGTCCCTGTATTTTCTTTTTACTTTTTACATTTTACTTACTTTACTTTCTTTCTGTTGTACATTGAGTTGTTTCACCTGTATCTAAATCACGGTTAAGTACAGAAATGCATTTACTAATATAGGATATCTGAGTGCTTCTGCTGCCAAACCAATGCTGCATCCTGCTTGATTAACGGATCGCAATTAGCCTCAAACAAGAGCTGTGCTGCCACCTAGAGGACAAGCTTGGAGCTACAGCGGCTTTGAATACAACACAAACTATGCAGCTCTATAGATCTGTTAAGAACCTAATATGAAGTCAAAACGTGGAGAAAGGGGATTTAAGGAGACAGCCATACAAGTCGAACCTGCGGATGTGTGTTTTGACTTGCTTTGTTCATAGTGTTAAGAAAAAGCACAGCAAATATTGTAAACCTGAATTTAAGGACTGTTATGACAACGCAAATAAGAATAAACATTTTTATTTATGTAAGTGAGCCATTTCCTTTTTTTTTTTTTTTTTTTTAAACATATATGCATTTACAGTTTTTCCAGTGTTTCCATGCAGCTGTCAGCCCCTAATATGGATAGCTGCACATCACTATAGCGGATTTTTTTCAGTTGTACCACAATGACTATACAGCACTGCTACACATATCACTGATTAAGAAAACGAAATTGGAGAATGAAGTAAGTACAGAGCAGTGAGCATATGCTGGTGGCAGTGAAAAAGGGGATTGATCAGCAAAATGGCATCTTGTAAGGGGGGATCTGAATAATAGGAATTTTGAATAAAGGCCTTTCAACATGCATGAATCACTCTAAATACAACTTCAAGTGAGTAAATAAATGAGAATCGTGTCATGAAAGAAATCAAACCCACAACTTCCTATTATAAGACAAGAGAGCTCCCTACATTGGTACTATGCACTCAATGGTCATGTACACATTCTCTAAACAAGCGAGAAATGATGAGACCACATTTCTCAAACCAGCTTAAAAAATGCTCAGTTTTTCATATGTTCATGTTTCCATTTTGACAACCAGAAACAAAAAACAACAACCCAGATGAGACTAAAACCAAACATGTCAAATCCAAGACACATTTTTGGACCAAAGCAGCTCCAGTAGCATCTGACATTAGAGTGAATCAATGTCAGCAGTGACGAGGAAACAGCCAAAAGATATTATGCAGAGAAGTAATGAGAGCGACAGCCAGAGCCAAAGTGGAAATCAATACATTTTGGCCCGGCAGACAGTTGGAGCACAACATTTAAGCAACCAAATCAGTGTATCGACGCACTAATGGCTGAAACACTGACAGGACTTGAGTGGATGCCATACTGTACATCATGTTTTAATATTAAGAATAACCATTGTGTGGGTGCAGGTGTAGTGAAACTTACCTCCAGCCATGGCAGTCTTTCCTTCAGAAGACACTGTCACTGATGTTGTTGCAATGACGTACTTTACTCCTGAACAAAAGATAGAAAAATACTTTTACTGATTGTACATATGACCTGCTAAGGTTAAAACTATTTGATCCTATCATGTGATGCTTTTATGTTCAGAGAGACAATTCCGAAATCATAAGGAGCTTTTATAGGCAAGGGATGATGAAAAAATGAAATATTTTTAAGTGAGTATTTTGGCTATCGATACATGGTAGAATTTTGAAAATGAGAACTGTTGTCCTAGCAATTGGCAATTCATAACAGGAAACTAAAACCACATAAACACATAATAAATGTATCAAATTTTTTTTCATTCCTTCAAATCAATATTTTTGACTACATGTCATTGTTGGATTTCCTTATCTCTCACCTCTACTTTAAATTCACTTTCTACTGACACAAAACAAATTATGAGATGAGATTTGAAGATGACTGGTCCTGACCTTTGTCATTGACGGGATAATAGAAGAAGCTTCCTGGAGTGTTTTCCACGGCCAGACGGTACCAGAGAGGAAAGTGATCTACAGTGAACAGGTTGTCCTTATCACCCGTGGTCAGGAACCTCCTATCATATAAGACATGTTTCAGGGTTAGTAATGGAGCCATAAACCAACAAAGTGTGGATGAATTATATGGAACTAAACCAAAAATATTTACTTGGCCACTCTGTTCTCGATGCCTGTGTATCGCGCCAGTCTCAGTAGTCCTGAACGTGTTCCTAAGAAGGCAGTCTCGATCCCTGGCTCCACCCTACACAAGAAATACAATAAACAAATCAGTAGTAGTTGCATATAGTGTGGTCTCAGATTTTAGTAATGGAACACATTGTGACCCAGACTCTTCAATAACAGTACTTAGGTTGCTACCAGAATTATGTAATGTAGTGTCTAGTTAATTAAGTTTACAGACTTACTCTAAATCAAACCATTTTCTTTTTTAAAAATTTCTGAAGCTGAAAATGTTTGCCCTCACCTGTCGTTGAGCATGAGTGCATTCCAATAGGCCTCAAGAGGAGCTGTGACCACTGCATCGAACAAGAGCTGGGACAACAGTACCTCATCACCTACACAAGGCAATACATTTAATCAACAGAATACAGGGAGGCATAATTAATCAGGCACAAGTACACAAAAGTACAGTGTTTAAATACTCACACTCCAGGTCTGGTTCTTTGCCCAGCAAGTAACGAATGGCTGCTTGAAGCTGGGAGTATTTTCTGTGATCGGGGTCAATGTCAGTTTCACAGTAGGTCCTGAAAGATAATTTTAAAAATAAGGAAAATATATGTATTGATGTACTGGCATAAAATATACTGCATATGGCATCTATGGGTTACTACATCTCTGGTGACCTACCATTCAGTGGCAATAATCAGGTCTGGAGAGGTAAGATCATGCAAACCTACAATACGACCAAAGAAATTTAATAGTTGTCCTGAATAAAAGTAAAATAAAATATCCATAATTTAAAAACATGTTTATACCTTCTTCCACAGAAACATTTCCCATAAACATGAGACTGCCATGGCCTTGAGTCAGTGCCATGCCAAAACTGACAAGAAGGGAAAAAATAAGCAGATGTCAGACAGTGCCCTCTAGTGAACAATCTCTCTCTCTCTCTCTCTCTCTCTCTCTCTCTCTCTCTCTCTCTCTCTCTCTCTCTCTCTCTCTCTCTCTCTCTCTCTCTCTCTCTCTCTCTCTCTCTCTCTCTCTCTCTCTCTCTCTCTCTCTCTCTCTCTCTCTCTCTCTCTCTCTCTCTCTCTCTCTCTCTCTCTCTCTATATATATATATATATATATATAAAGTGTTTAAAGTATATAAAACAAACAGCTGATTTACCTGAATGGTGTCTCATCAATATTTGTGTAGAAGTAGTCATTGACCAAGTACAATGGCCTTTTCTGTTAGACACAAACAGTGTAATACTAAGTACAAGATATATCATAAAGCTAGCTTATTCAGTTAAAATGAAAAGCTGTACCCCTTTATCAACTGAAGATCTGATATTCAGAGTGAGGCTGCCGGTTTCTCCTCTCACCATTGCTGTCCGCAGCTAGAATAATATAAAAGTTACATCACAGTTATAAGTGTCTTACTGCAAAACCCATACTACTTGGATTAATGTAAGGATGCCAATGTAATGCTAGTATCTCCATGGAGAACGTTCCAAAATATGGTTTAAACATGGAATTCTGCAAGTGATGTGCCAGGTAACCAGGATATTGACTGATACCATCAGCCAGGAGCAGGTCAGGCTTAAAACATGCAAATCATGAATCATTCAAAGTATAGGGTTAATGATGAGGGAATGTCATTATAACATGGTTTAAAGCTCATCAAATACATACAGTTGTGTGTCTCTTATATGTTCTCTTTGCACAGTGCCCTCACCTGCTCATCAGTGTCCTCCCACTCCACCTCAGACAAGTCCACACTGTTGTAGTTAGGCTTGGGCTTTAGTTTCTTGCCGTCTTTGTACTGTCAAACAGAGGAGAGGCTTTTAATAGTGAAATACTGTACCGACATCAATGTTTAATACCACCTCCTAATGTACCCTCCAGGACATCAGCCCCAGCTTTAAATAGAATCAGGAGTAAATCAGATCACATCTACTAGGACCTCTGAGATAAATTTAGCCATGCGGTGATGTGTGCATTAAAGTCTAAGAGATGGATTTAAGTCATGTAATGTGTGAATGGGATTCTGGGTAAGTCCATAAGTTCTGACATATTGATAGTGTTTACAGGGATGGAAGTGATGCTGATTTACCACTGAGAAAAAACAAAAAACAAAAAAAAAACTGGTTAAGCAGTGCCTTGTGAGTTAGAAGCAGTAGTTCATAAAAAAGTAGAGCTATAATGACAATGTTTATGTGGACCCTACGAAATAGAAAAAGCTAAAGCTTGACCAGTGCACTAATTCAATGAGAGCCACTCAAACTACTCAAAACAAGATATTCTGAACACAAGTAGCAGTAGCAGTAGTAGCAGTAGCAGTAGCAGTAGTAGTAGTAGTAGTAGTAGTAGTAGCTGGGGAGTAAATTCAGCCATGAATTGAACTGAAATGAACTGTATATCTTAATTGTTACTGGCTTCAATATCAATCAATCATAACCTGTTGCACTGAAGTCTCAATCAGTCACCTTTTAAGTAATTCATATGAAGAACAACATCTAAACTCACCAAAGGTCGAAGGTCAGGGTGAGCCAGGATGTAGCCATTGTTGGTGATGAGGAAGGCGTATCCATGAGGTCCGAGCTAACAGGAGAAAAAAATATTACAGAACTATTCTGCCATTAGATGAAATACTAAATAACTAAATTAAAATTAAAGGGGTGACACATGACTCCCCAGCGATCTGGCTCCGGATAAGAGGAAAATGATTAATGGGCAACAGTTACCAATAAGACAAAAATGAAGCTACGATTACACTGATTAGACAAAATACACTTAAGAAAGTGGCCATTGTTAAATATACTGTAGAAAGGAGCAGGCAAGGGTGCTTTTAGTACACTCTTTCCAGAGTAAGGAGCTAAATAGTAAAGAGAATGACAAATGCATGTGTAATAATGCAGAGAGATGACACATATATTTGTAGGGACAATGTTTCTTTCTGTAATTGTAATTATGTGGACTATCCTCCTCAAGAAACAAATAAATACATAAAAGATGCATCAGAAATACATTTTACAATATAATATGTACTTCTCACCATGTATCTTGGTGCCAGTTTCATCACCTCCTGCAGTGGGACATCAGTGCCTACTACCCCCAGCAGAATCCCATGGGACAGCTGTACACAAAGAGACCCATTTTAACAACCAGGGCCATTTGTAAGAACATTAAAATTACATGCAAATTTGATGTGGGTAATCTGAGTGATCATGCTCAAAAAATTCAGAAATCATTTTAATAATCAAACAACTCCACAACAGATAGTAATAACATTTTGAGTCCTCATGTAACCATAGCTAGTGTTTTAGTTACTGACCGTTTCCTTCTTCTTACTGAAAACCGGCATGGCCACTGAAGTCATCAACAGCAAACTCTGAGCCTTTGTTGCGAAGAGCTGACAAACAGGAAATGGACTGTAAGTATTTTGAAGTAAAGTCTATGTCTATATGCAAATTAGCCAGGTCAGCCAGAAGTATAAGACATGTAATCTGGGTGAGGTCTCCTGATAATCATACACACATTTTCAAGATCCCTATGTTAAAGTATAAGTACACATAAACAACATTTTTATTGCCCTTCAAACTATCTTTACTACTGAATCTACTACTACTATTACTTTATAATTACCTCCTTAGTGTTGGGAAGCTGTTAAAAGATGGAGGCAGGGTCCAAGAGGATGATGGTAGAATGAAATGCAAAGATGTTACAAACACAGATGAAAATGACATGTGGATGACAGCAGCACAGACCACAATAAAAATGGAACATGAACATCAGTGAATGTGAAATATCAAATGAACGAGTATTTCCTGAACTCACCACAGTGTCCATGTAGGCCTCGGTCCAGATGATGTCGTGGTCGTGGTTGATGACCATGGGTCTACTGAGCACGTGCAGATATTCCATGACGTTCTCCTGTACATCGGCCAGTGTGGAGATGTGGGTGTAATAACCTAGAAAAATAAACCAAGTATGACAACATCAAGCTGTAATAGAGTCATATGAAGAACTGATCCACTGTTTTGAGTATCGCTTTAAAGGTGCACTACGTAACATTTCTAGTGGAGAGTCGGCCACCAGCTTGACAATAGACAGTGGCTCCTCCACCACAAAAGTTGTGCAATGTGTTTAAGATCCAGTATTCATAGCTGAATCTTGTTCTATATCTTGTTTCTATACACACACTATTAGAAAATTTAAATTAAAATTAAAAAAGTGAAGCTTCAGTTTTCAACAATAAAAATTTCATGCTTATTTAAATGTATTCATAGTATAATAATTATAGTATAATAATTATTGTTTTATATAATCTCATCATAAATCTAATGCAGTCCTGCTAATGATGGGGGCTTAGATTGTTGAACACAATTTTAAAGTAACACAGTAAACAACTTTCTGGAAGTGTAATGTGCAATGAAAGCTAAAACCATAATTCAAGATAGATACTTTTGATGCCATACTGTGGAATATTTCAGCCACAGGAACAACATTTCCATTTAGATAAGCAGATATCTCTCCTCCAGGCCAAAGAAGAGTCAGGGTAGTGGAGAGACAAGCCCGCTCACAGTAAAGACACTTTTCCAGTGTTTTTCAGTGCAATTTTAAAAAGGCAAAAAAAATGCAGCATTGAGAACATAAACAGAATCTCACCTTTGTTGTTGCAGGCGATCCATTTTGTGTTCTGTGCAAAAGTCATCTCCCTCCCGATCAGGTAAGTGAACACTCGCACCTGAAATAGATTTTATGATTTTAAAATTTCAACACATCAAATACTGACGTGATGTGCCTGGACAATTCTGTTATGATTTATACAGCTGATTTATGTCTAAAGATGTGGTTTTAGATATTAGAACGAAGCTTCTGTTGTCAGACCTTAATGGAAAAATCAATACTAGGCAATCTTGCTCCCTTACTGTAATGGATTTGTTTGGGTTTGCTTATTTGGAGGACCATTTAGTTTGGAGGTTATGGCAGTGAAGAATAGTTTTGAAGAGTAGTTGTATTATGTGGTAAAAATGTAGACAAAGTTACCCTGCGCTCTGGCCAGTTGTACTCCTCAAAAACTGCCTCGAAGTCTTCCATGGCTCCATCTGTGATCAGCATTATGGCCTGGTTACACATGCTGCCCTGTCCATTCACTCTGGCCTGAAAACAGTGGGAGATGTGTGTAAGCTGCAATTAATATTTTTAGTTCACATACTTATGCTGTATTTATTGCACAAACATCATTGAGGATTTTGAAAGCTTCCTTCATGGCTTTGTTGATCTTTGCTTCTCCCTTGACATGTATCTCCTCCACCAGAAGTTTAAAATGCTGAAAGACAAGAAGACAATTTGGTTGGTGTAAAATCCAAAACAGATATATTAGGTAGGTGTAACCTTTTGTTGTGTATAAATGTGGTATGAATGTGAGTGACTGCCATTGGTTGGAGGGGCCAGTGGTGCAGATTGGTAGCCTCGGGTTAATGTATAATGCATTGGAAAGCACTTTGAGTATATGGAAATTTGCTGTATAGATCTAAATATAATTTAATTACATGAAATAATCACAGTTACATTGTTGATTAACTGAATATTAATTAAAGTGTACATACATTTAAAAAATTATGGCTCTAGATTAGGTGATGTTATGATGATATTGAGTTTTTAGTAAAGTGAATGAGTAAACACATTTTAATGTCTGCAATAGTTAAATCCACCCGCATGAATCCTTGGCTTAACAAAAATCAGCTACGGTGTGCGGTTGGAAGTCAAAGTGGGCTGAGCTCTGGCTGACAGACGCTCAGTGCCGTAGGTTAACCTGCTTCTGATGGGTGCTGCTTCCTCATGTTAGCCTAAGAAGTAGGCCAAGAGGCTGATCTCATGATGTGCCCTGTGTGGGTCTGTGTTTGAGGGCGGTTATTCATCATGGTGTAAAAAATTAGGTCTGTACACTTAGTCACCACATCTCAGGCCCCTAGGTAAATCTTGGGTGTGTACGTTTATATGTGTATGTGTGCCTGTGTGTGTGTTAGGGCTGTAAGACTGGTGTGAAGCAGACGTTACCTCTCGGTTGTCCAAGTCGGCCTGGACCAGGGTCCCTTTAAAACAAGGCTCAATGTAGCGGACGTAGTCTGTGTACTGCAAAAACACATTTATAACACAACACAATAAAAAAATTTGTCTGTTTTGAGTAAAGAGTGAATACAGTGAAACTAAGCCTCAAAAATATTACAACCATACTAACTTAAAGGCTTAAATAATTTTGATGACAAGGATCAGTTTATAAGTGTGACCTATAAACATATAGAGAGATGTTAAAGAGCACCATGTTTTTCTAATTATGACTTAGTTTAGTGGGATAGGACCTGTGGTAAATATTTATCAGTTTTGCATCAGTTAAGTGGCAGTTTGTGGAAAAAAGCTGAGAAGAAAATATCAAAATACAAAAAAAGATGCGCTGAGTTCTAAAACAGAATACCTCTAGTAATTTCGTCATCACAAAAAAATTCCACCCAAAATGCAGGAACAATTTATACATAAGGAAAGTGTTTTTCAGGCAGTTTAAACCCTTATTTAATAAAGTAAAGTGTTTTTCGTATTAATTTAATCATAGTTGTTGTGTAATTTAGACGTTTTTTGGCACATGTTAATGTCATGGTTTCTAGGCAACAATTATGGAATTACATCTACTAAAACATACAGTATGTCACATCTGCTGCCAGTGTCTAACCAGGAAGTACAATTAAAAACTACAAAACTCAGCAGTACTTCTTACAGCGATGACGTTGACAAAGTCGTTCTCCCCGAGCGTGTCCAGGATGGTGTTGATGGTGTGTTGGCAATGGTCATCTTCAGGCCCTTCATGCTGCCACTCATGTCCACCATTATAATGATGTCCTTGGGAGAAGTGGCAGCCTGGATGTACCTGCAAGAGACACAGAAAAATATTTCTGGAGTACATATTTTATCTTAGACGTCATTAGTTTTCTCCTTATAGTTGCACTTCAAACTTAGTTTAACTTCACAAGAAAAGACTAGTTTTATTTATTTATTTATTCTATGTTAACGTTATGTTATTAATGGCTCATGACCCTTTCATTCTCAATAATAGGACAAATAAAATGTTCTAAACATTCTGGCTGTACCTACAGTTTTCAAACAAAAATGTATTGATTGAACATACACATTACGTTGGCATTAGTATCTGACATTTTTTAACTTATAACTTCTAAGTTAAACTTATAAATTATAAATATGATCAGAATGTAAAACACACTTTAAAACTATGACTTTGTTTTTAGCATGGTGCAGCAGATGCTGTGAGCAATGGGGATAAACAATGCAAAGATACATAAGTCATTTGACAACTGTGACTTCAATGCTAATAGAGCCATGGGTGTTTTTGCCCATCAATCCATTTTCTTCCGCTTTATCCAGGGCCCGGTTGCAGAGGCAGTAATTGCGTAGCCTTCAGCTCCCCCGGGGGGATCCCGAGGCGTTCCCAGGCCAGCCAAGAGGCATAGTCTCTCCAGTGTGTCCTGGGTCTTCCACAAAGCCTCCTCCCGGTGGGACGTGCCTGGAACACCTCCCCAGGGAGGTGCCCAGGAGGCATCCGGAACAGATGCCCGAGTCACCTCAGCTGGCTCTTCTTGACATGGAGGAGCAGAGGCTCTACTCCGAGTTCCTCCCATGTGACTGAGCTCCTCACCCTATCTCTAAGGGAGCTCCGAGCCATCCTGCAGAGGAAACTCATTTCGACCGACTGTATCTGCGATCTTGTTTTTTTGGTTATTACCCAAAGTTCATGACCATAAGTGAGGGTAGGAACGTAGATTGACCAGTAAATTGAGAGCTTTGTCTTTCGACTCAGCTCCTTCTTAACCACAACAGTTCAATACAGCAACCACATCACTACTGAGTGTTTTTGTAGCATACTAAAATGCTCAGTGCGAGTCTAGAGCTGATTTATGGGCTTGAGCACGGGGACTTCCGGGTTTGTGATCTACAACAATCTGGGGAATATTGAATGATGTATCTTTTGATGAGGGAATTATAACTTTACCATATAGTTAAAAACTCCAATCAATTACGCATGATATGTCCCTTTAAAAGATGTTAGTGTTGGCTTTCTTTCTACTATACTAGTCTATTATATATAATATATACACTACCCTTAATAACCAGCCTCACATACACATGCTGTCTGTGTAGCCAAGACTATTATCAAATCAAATGCACTGCACTGCTTTGCTTTACACAGAATCTATTTAACTTATGATACATGGGTCATTTGAGGACACATAAACTTTGATTTTTAACAGGCACTAATTTTTGCAGCAGATGCATAGTACTGTTTTCCAGCTTAGTAGCTGCAAAGTGTAGATGAGGCGTTCAGAGACATATACAGAGTCAGTATTATTCAAAAATGAAGTTGCATATGGTGCCATGTGTGTGCACTGACCTGGCTAAGGAGCTAAGCTTATCTTCTTTTACAGAGGATCAGGCTGAAGGGCCCAGTGCTCAGCTAACAGAGCGCTATCTCCAGACTGACTGAAAGTGAGCAATCCTGAGCTGGTGCCAAGTGTACATGTCCACAGTAGTAATAATAATAATTTTTGATGTTGATTTATACATTATCACTGATAAAAGTAGAATCCTCATGAAGCTAGACATTTTTTTTTTAACAAGTTAACTCAGTCGAAGCCTTAAAAGTAACTGAAGATAAAAAAAAAATGTATTTGTATTATACAGTAGATATATTATATTCTAAGATTTTATTATCTTTTGCTAAGTCATCAAAGAAAACAGAAACAATGAATGTACAATGAATGTAACCAAGCTAAAGTGGAACCACGTGAAAACAAAGATTAAACACTAAATTGGCACATTTTCTGTGCCATTTTGGTGTGAATACTGCTCTGTCTGGGTCCATAAACATCTTCCCTCAGCACATGGTGTGTTGTGGAGGCTGTATAGTCCAGATATAGTCCAAATAACAGCTATTTGGTTACTAAATGCATTGATATGTTTCAATCCTAAATGTAAATGTAAGACACGTTTCAATTTTTTGATTTCCCGAAAACCTTGACACAGATGAATCACACTTTCTTCACATTCCTTTACACTCAGCGGTGCCCACAGTCAGTGACGCCACACTGCGACTTGTGAGATGACACCTTTAAGAGGCTAAACCGCCGCCATCTGCCCCTCTGTTTACAGTGGAATTAACAAGATTATCCAACAACTATTTCATATAATCCTGATTGGTAAACAAACCATGAGATCTACTAAAGTAAACTATGATATTGTGAGGACTTTGTGAGCAGGTTACTTACCAGTTTCTGTTTCTGCAGTCAAAGGCAGCCACTCCATTGGCATCTGGAGTCCATTTAATACCTGCAATAAATGCATTTAGACAACATTACAGCAAGAGCCAGTATGGTCAGATCAGTGTTCATACCTTGTTAAATTTTGTCACAAGCAAGTATATATTTCAGAACAGTTAATGTTGTGTGTTTTTCTAATTTTACAAAATGACAATTCTCTGTTGTGGATTTACTCCTGAGCTGCCCTGTTCATGTATCTGACCTCTTCATATGAAACCCATGGAAGCCTGTACCAGTGACAGACAGTTGAGCTGATACGATAATATCCTCTTTGACTGGACCTCTTTTACACCAGTAGATTTAGAGTGGTGAGCTCTCACCTGGGTATATCCTGAAGAAGCCTGAGGAGCTGCCAAAGTACTGCCATGTCAGAGTGGGGTCTTTCTGGAAGTTACCGATGAAGACGTCATTTAGAGCCTCTGAGTTATAGATGGCATTCAGGATCACAGGGTCTGACCGGAGCACAAACACAGCCAATGACTTTTTTACACTTGTTTTGAAAGCATTGTGAGCTTTTTAGAGCCTATTTGGATTTCATCATTATTATGTACTAAGCCCATAAGCACAAGACAAATTAGAAGCACTTTTTTTGTTCTGGCAATCAGCACAGACTTGACATGGTTTCCTGGTCCTAAGCTGCTCTTGTATTGGGGAGAAATGGTGTAAATCTTGTACCTCTGTTGTAGACATTGGTTGGCACCTGGATGTCACTCTGCTGGGTGTTCACTGGCAAATTGTTAAAGTGCTCATTCTCCTCCAGAGGAAACTCTCCTCCAAGATCTCCAAAGTTCCCATCCTCATCCGGTGAATTTATCAACATGGAGTTGTAATAGTCAAACTAAAATCATACAGAACAATATAAGATACCATTGTATATTTAAGTTCTTAAAATTATCTAATGAAAGTTCTGCTTCACACAGCTTACAGCAGATATTGAGAATATAGATAAAGACAAGCACAACTGGTTTTGCTTAGCTTTGGTGTATTACACCATAAAAGATTACATTATCCTTCATACTTAAATCAAAATCAATAAGGTTTCTAACAGGTTAAAAACCTTTTCAGCCACTGAGAAGTAGACTACATAATTTGGTTGCACTAACCTCTAAAGTTGCATTGAATTCATGGTAAAGATCAGCATCCTCAGCAGATTCTGCTAATCGCTGCAAGCAAAATCAGTTCATTCAGTTAAATAAAAATTAAAAAATAAAGAAAGAAAGAAAGAAAGAAGGAGTTCTGAAGGGGTATGGTAACTTTCAATTACCATTTCTACCCCTTCAGTAAATATGGGCAGTATGTGCGGTGTGTGCTCAGCCAGGATTCGTGCCAGAAACCCTCTTTCTTCTGCCTCATACCCTCATATTTACAGTATACAGTTTAGTGACCAGGTGAGTTTACCTTCACAGACTTCATCTTGCTTCCCAACATGCGCTCGATTTCATCGGAGTAATCCTTCACCAGGTCTCTGCCCTCGATCTCCTTAATCTTTACAATTGACTCCACATCTTTCAGTTTCTACATGAAAAAAAAAGAAATCTCAAATTCAAACAGTAGTCACAAATACCATAAACAAAATAACTTTAAATATCATCACTGAATAACTTTTCTGCAAAAGTTTGGAAATGTGTGACTGTTGTTCAAGATTATTAACAAGATGGCTCAGAGAATTACAGTCTTGTACAAAGCATCTCTTCAATGTTTGTTTGATTAATGCTCTTGTACATGATCCCTGTAAAATAAACTAAACTAAATAGTAGCAGAGCACCAATTAGTCTCTGGTAAACCGTAGGCAGGAATGTTTTTGTAGTGTCAGATGTAATCAGGTCACTTTCTCTGGATCAGGAAGATTGAGACTGAGGAACACCAGTCTGTCTCTGAGTCTGCTAATTTAAAACTCTCCTTTAAGAAAGTCTTAATTCATTATACCTCTGTGATCTAAGCACTTTAATGTTTAGATGACCACCACATATGACTGAAGTTGCAACCAGATTTAGAAAGTGTTCACCGTTTATACAAGTAAATTACAAGTCATAAAGTACAGGTGAATGGTACTGCCCCATAAAAATAAAAGCGTACAAAGACATACAGGCTAAGATCTGTGATAAACTGCATGCAGATACATTAACATCATGTGATCACATCACATGATCATAGATTTCTAGTTAAAAGATGTTTGTTGTGGGTAAAAACCTTAAACCACAAATCTAAATCTGACAGATAACGGGATGAATGTCTAAAATCAGAGCAGCCCATAAGCCCTGCAGTAAAGAGAAAACACTTCTCAATCTGGGCTTTTCTATTATCCCTGTGTCAGGCAATGTGCTGCAAACTGGTACATCCAAATCATGTTTCAATATTGTTTTTGGTTCTTGCAGCTTCAGACCTCAGAGATTTTGACTAAATGTAAATAAAAAAGTAAAACAATCATGTAGCAGCAGATCCATCTATTGCAATAAATTACTTTTAAATCAAAGGCAGTTGATTCTATGACCTGGCTTGCTTCTGGTTTGAGTCCATTGTAGTGTTGATGTATCCCTGGTTTAGTCAGGGTTTAGTCCAGGATTAAATCTAGGTATAATCACAGTGACTAACTTCTTATTCTCAAGGTCCTTTTCATAACCACCACCCATTCCTGAACACCCCTCAGTACTTCCTTTACCAAACCTTTGAGTTTTAACTCCATGATATACATAGTTCTGCTATGCAAATTGTGGAGTCTCAAAAGTTTGGTAAAGTTGGTAGCATATACTATATACTATATATATATATATATATATATATATATATATACTATATATATATATATATATATATATATATAATATATATATATATATATATAACTGCTAAATTATGTAAGTAATTCTAACACTTAAAATAGTCTAATTTGAAAGTCTGAATTGAATACAATGGTACAGAGCAATAAACAGTAGCAGCAGTCCTATTAATAGTACTTTTAGGCACACTTTATTTTGATAGTCTCCATAGCTTAATAATCACTCTGTTAAACAGTAGCTAGTAGTACAATACTGGTAGCAATAATTGTTTTAGTAGGTGTAGACATAGTAGTAGTAGAAGCAGAGTAGTATAATCATAGTACATAGTAATAGGAGTAACAGTAACAGTAACAGTAACAGTAAGCAGTAACAGTGCTGTATTAGGCAAAGTAGTTTTGACATATTCACCTTTTGCAGTAGCATTGAGCCGGAGTATTTGACAGTGATCTCTCGAATCTGAACCGAGAATACATTTGCCCACTGCTGCACCCTGGAAGCACAGTGTGTAAGTGAATAAAAAAAGAAAAACATATTATAAAGTTTAGTCATATATCTCTATAGCTCTATCTATACAGGGAATATGTGTCCAGATTGTCTGAGGATTAATACTATCCATAATATTCTCATTTTCCATATTGAAATCTGAGCCTATTTACAATGTAGCTGAAACCAACAGGATTTCATATAACAGATGACAGGATTATGTAGTATGGGAGATTGGATTAAGCTCTGCTTTCACCTTTGGTAGGTATTTTACAATGCACTGTATAGAAGTAAGGATGCAATGGCACTGGTTTTTCACAATACATATCAACACATGGGTCACGATATTAATACGATCTCTCTAAATTTTAGGCCTTTGATAAACAAAAACAAAACATTTTTCCTCTACTATTTTTAAGACAATCATCAATAAGCATTGTGGTTCCAATGATTATTTTAGAAATGAACTAGTTAAAGGTACAGTACAGGAACTTTCTGGAGGTTGCACGTCACTTGTATGATTTTATAAAAATTGAACGTTAAAACCATACTATCTATCTCCAGGCTGAGTCAGGCCTGTGAAGATGCAAAACCCCACTCACAGTAAGGACTTAAGTGTAAGTCTCAGTGTAATATACAAAACCAGAATGGTGCTAAAAAGGTACATATTGTGGCTTTATTTCTTTTGCACGTTCATGCTTTTAAATACATTATCAAACAAATAAAAGTTTAATAATAATATATAAAATAAATTATGGTCGACTAGTCACAATTGGTCAATTAATTGTTGCAGCCCTAATGAACATAACGTTTTATTCATTAATTATGCTATTACTGTTCAAACACAGAAGAGTCAGGCCATTATGGAGAGAGAGGACACTCAAAGCCATTTATTTTGTAGCTGAATAAAAGATACTGTGTATGATTTGATAATTAAGTTGTTTAGACGTTTCCATAGAGACACACAGCCGAGTTGGCCAGGAAAAGACAGTTAAATGTGCCTGTGATGACAGAGATTTAGATAAGCTTCTCCTCATCTGGGTCAGCGCGTGGCAGGTGTGTGGGTATTCACAATAACACAAATACATGGCAAAACTCGGCTAGTGCACAGATAACAGTCTAGCACATTTTAATATAGCATCAACTCCTCTGCCAACTGAGTATGCATGTTTAAAGGTGCACTGTGTCATTTTTGCCTTCATATTATTTCATATTACAATATTTAAATTATCTATATCCATAAATCATATGCAGGTGACAGATTACAAGTGACAGGTCCGATCTGAAGAGAGGTGACTGCTCACAGTAAAAATGCATATTTTTGCAAGATACTGCTTAGCAATTGAAACACCTGTACGTAAAACAGATAGTTTAAAGCCATAATGTGAAACATTTACATCTATTTCTTTGACATATAGGTTGGACAAGGTAAAAGGTAATAGAGTGATATTTCTGCAGTCCAGAAATGTACTAAAATTATGTGTAAATGTCCTGGAGGAGTTTCAAGTATCTCTTAAATGTGATTGTGAATTTAACAACTAAATTGAAGAAATATCACCATATAACAGGCATATAAAGGCAGAGATACACACTGAATAATATTAGAGGTGTAACTATGCTATAAACTAGAATTCGCTGGAATTCCACTGGATGAAAAGCATGGTAATGACTTCATCACTAACAGCCTAATACAGTTTTTTTTTTACATTTTAGTTTTATGATATTATAATATCAAATGGAGGGCAGAGGCCATTGAAAATCTATGGGAGCTGTTTATTATTTGTGACTAGTAACTACTATGTTTGTAAATAATAAACTTTTCTTTTAATCTTTTTACACAATGGCCTTTTGTTTTTGCTACTGTCTGCATATCTGACCACAAAATAATCCCAAGACAGCATTTCATATAGCATAACGTGTTGCTGTGTGAAAACAATAATTTTGTCCCACTTTGGTCCTCATTAAACAGTGATGGAGTATCCACATTGAGCACTGCAGTTTCCCAAAGTCTCATTGTTGTCTCTGATGTACAACTAATTGGGTCAAGCAATGTTTCATATAAGCACCAACGCTGGGCAGGTGACGTGGCCTGGATTCTGCCTAAATATATCCTACACCAATATATACTGGATTTAAACTCCTATAATCTTAAATAGTACATATATTAAAAAGCTACTGCTATTTTTGGTACTTATTTAAATGTATTATTACATTTATATTTTTGCTTTTTGTCATTATGATATTGTTATGTGTGAGCTACTGTGTCCAAATAATTTCCCTTGTAGATCAATAAAGTTTGTCTAAGCCTAAGTAAGTGGGCCCGGTCAAGCAGAAGTAAACAGCAAGGCCAGAAATTGAAGTTAATGCATCTGATATAAAAATGTATTCAACAGATACATATGTACTCTAGTTTATTAAACTGTTTACCTTCTTTCTGTACCATTTTTGGTTCTAAAGTTACATACGTTTTAAATAGACCATGTATGCAACATTGAACAAAAATTATTTCCCAAATTTCAAAGACCTGCAAATCATGTAAATAAATTGATGTATTTCATCATATCTTGTGTTATTCGATCTTTGAACTGTTGATGAAGGTACATGAGTTTAAAAAAAAAAGTATTTACAATGATAAAAATTTGCTTGGAAGGACTGACATATTTTATAGAAATAGTTACCTTTCATTTTAAAGTAATATTAAAGTATTCGGAAGAAAAAAGATGACAAATTATGCAAAAACATGCACCTTCTACTTGCTTGCACAATTTTCCCTCCGTTACCATGACCTTTCTTAATAAAAAATCTCATTACTCAAAAAGTAAGAGGTTTTTCAACCTAATCTTGCACCATATGGTAGAAAACTATATTAAGCAAATATTCAAACCAGTTTGTTAAGGATATGTAAGTGAGAACCGCTAGTTATTGCTGTTTGTATTTATTGCCCAAAAAGTGCTGCATATTTCATTCATTAAATTTTTTGTCAACAACTTGAAAGAATATTGCAGGTTTAACTTTACCCTGTTGGAGTGCTAACTCTTTCCTACATTCTAATACCTTACTTATTTCAATAGTCCCTCTAGTTTCTGTAAAAAATCTGCCCGTTTCCCTTACTGCTTGACCGAACCCAAGTCTAAACAACCTAATATGTAATTACTTCAATCTCCAGGGTCCTCGTTACCAAAAGTTTTCTCTGTCTGTTCAAAGTACTGATAATTTTAAAGATAAGATGTCTCCAAATGTATTTCTATTTAAATTGAAGAAGGACAACTCAACAAGTAAAGTCCTCCTCACTGATCAGGCATAGTACCAAGTCTCCACCAAACCTACTATTTGTGCATACTAGGAGAAATAAGCAATTCATCAAATTTGAACTGAAGTGAGACCAAATCATTTCAGAACATAAATTATCAGTAAAAGAATGTTGTTTGGAGCAGAGTTCAGACTTTGCTGAGCTGGAAATGCACTATCTTTGTGTTAAAAATCATAGATTTTAAGTCTATTGTTTATGTTATTATTGCTGAAAACATATTTATTTGTCTTTAATATGAAAAGAAATACAATCAAACTAAAAAGTGTAAATGAATTAATAAGGAAATTTTAAATATGTGCATACAGTGTAATATTTTGAACCAGATCTGCTGAGAATCCCTAGCTGCTGTTTTGGAGATTATATGAATCTGTGGTTTAAACCTCACAATTTTGTCCCTAGTCTGCGTTCAGTTAGTGCCTGATCCTTGGTTCTGTTTTGACTTGACATTTATAGATCACATTAAGAAGGATTCCTCTCTTCATGTTTTAAGTTGACACTGTCCCTGTACTTGACCCTTCTGAGGTGATCATGTGAATGTGGGTCACAGAGAAAGGTGACCAAAGATGCATAGTCATGCCAATCAGACATGGACGGAGCACTGTGACACTGTGGCTGCAGGGTTTGACCATACGGTTTAATGTCATAACATTAAAGTAAGGGAATTTAGGAGTTCTCAAACTGCATTAATTCTACTGAAATAGTAAAATGTATAAAACACTTTGATGGAAATGATAGAATGGCAAGATGTTTTTTATTGACTGATGTTGATAATGATTTCTAAGAATTCACAGCAACTGATGGCTGATAAGATCAGCCAAAATAACACAGAATACCAAACAAAGTAATTCATTTTATTTTCTGGGTTTCTGGGTTAGGTCACAGTCTCTAACCTAAGCATGCAGGTAAGTAGGTAAGTGGTTAGCACTTATCACTGGTTAGCTTATTCTTTCATTCTGCTCCACAAACATATAATCAGTGTAATTGAATGTCTTTCATATTAACTTTTCAGTTATTTGGGTGTTGGACCCCAGTCTTAGTGTAGAGGAGGTCTACATCCTGTTAGTCACATGTGACAGACAATCAGGCTATAGGTACAGGAAAACTAACCACACACCTTTGGACACTAAATGAATTTAAATGTATATTCATAATAGACTGCCATGAGTACCTGGAGCACTCAGAGACTCTAGTGCAGAGATCCCACAGGAGCATGAGGCTGCACACTACACTCAGGGGGATGTTAGTGATGCAGCTGTGAACACTGAGCTGTAACATGTTTGGAGTTTGGCCCAATTAAACCAACAATCACAAAGTAGGTCATGCTGGTGAATATGACAGTACTACATTTCATAAATACTTGTTTTTGGTCATTTTAGTCCTATAGATCACCTTAACTTAAACTAAATGTTTGTTGTGTACTATTCATGTGATCTTCTAATCTTCAAACAATAGATTTTAACAAGAATTATATTTTCAGATTAAGATTCAGTTCATAGTGCACATCTCTTGAGAAAATATTGAATTATGAACTACTAAGATGAATTACATGCATTTCAGTTTGCAGAGGTCTACACTACAGGTTTACTTATACTTTTAATCCATAAAAAGACAAAATATTTTGTTTTGTTGGTATGTAATTAATTACCATCTTTGTGGTTTGATAATTGTCACTTTTGTTGTAAAATAATAAAGAATCTCCTCTAAAAGTGTATTTTTAGTGAGCTTTAAATTTCATTAATAGAAATATTTGTATTTGTAAAATGAATAGTGTTATATCACCATTGAATGAGGTCTAATAAAAAGAGTTCTGATCAGGTGCATCTGCTAATATTCTTCTAGAAAAACACTTACGTCTCTGGTGGTATCTTCATCTGAGCTTGAGCTGCTAACCACAAACTTAAAAACCCTAAAAGTCCCAGGAACCTCCCAACTCCTCGTGTCCTGGCGTCCATGCTGCCTCTCCAAACGAACTTCATAGACAGTTTGTAAGGGCTAAAGGTTCTCTCATGTTGGCTAGATTCCAATGTTGATAAAAGTATAAATTTTTTTCAGACCACTTGGTAAAACTGTTCCTACGATTTGCATTTTCTCCTCCAAAAGCTCCACGTTGCAGAAGGTGACAAGCTAAACGCACAAAGCAACACGCTCTTCAGGTAAATTAGATGCTAGAAGTTCCCTCCTCTGCACCAGTGTCTTCCAAGTTTTCCGAGATAAATCCGACATGATTCTTGCACCAACAGTTACCACTAGTAGTGATGCATTTTAAATTTAACCAACATTTCGTCGTTGTAGATTTTTTAGCCGCTTGCTCCCACCGTCGCCCAATTTGCAATGTAATCTGCTTGGATTAAAAAGCGCTCTCCCCCGGCCAGCATAGAGAGAGACGCACACACAGAGGAGCCGGTATAGAGAGGGAGGGGCTGGCTTGGGACAGGGGATTGGGCCAGGCCTGTGTTCTATCTAAGAGGATTAGAGCGATTTCTGGAGACAGGCTGCACTCCCTCCAATGAGAGACGCCGGAACAGGGTTAGGCTCAGTGTGGCGCTACTGAGGAGAGAGGAGTGATATTATACGTCCCACACAAAAACACAGCCACTCCAATCATCAGGAAGTGTTACACAGCTCTATTCAGTACTGGCAGGTGATCAGTGACAGAATTATGAAAGAGCAAGGCTGGTTACTACATTTAGAGATCCGAAATGTATAAAAAAATGTACTAGTATATATATTTGAGAAATATAGTATGTAACGCAATGCACATAGTCTATGGTTACATAATAAAGAGTTGCTAAAAGAGGGCACCAAAACTGAGAATCAAAAAGAAGAAAGTACATATATATGTACACATAAGTACATATTTCTGCACTTTTGTGGTTAAAGATACACTGCGTAACTATTTATCTGCTAAAACTTTGCCTGGAATGTTCCAATGTATAGCATTAAATTTATTTTTATTGCCTGTATTACAGTACAAATCTTTTTTTATATACCAAAAAAACACAAAATTTCATAAACACATTCTGCACCTGCAACTCCCTGGAGATAGAAGTATAATACCACATTCAAGGCTAAGCAATAACATCTCTGTGAAAACAGCCATGCCTCAACCTCAACCAAGACATTTCCAGGCACATTTTAGCACATTTCTAATGGACTGACAAAATATCATCTGAATATTTGGCGATGAAATAGTCTCTCAAATATGAAGAAGGATACAGCAAACTGTCCAACAATGTCACTTTAGGAGAAAACTAATGAATACAACTCAAGTAAAATGTTATATTATTAACTACCTGTACTTTAGCCAAATACTTCCACCACTGTATAAATAAATGTGCCAATCCAGAGATCTTGCCAGTGGACTATTAATAGACAAACACAGAAACACTCAAACAGGATATTACAGCCAAACAGTGCCTCTGTCCTGTGCTGAACTCACTTAAACCTGCTGTGACTGCAACAGATGGGAACATAACTTAATAAAAATAACGTCTGAATTATGAGGGACAAAGAAATATTTTCATTTGTGTCTAAAGTAAAAAGAGCCAGAGCCAGTCCCCAGGGTGGATCAGGGCGACCCACACTTCCAATGTAATCTGATAAAACCCAATTAGTGCCAAAAGCTGTCCACTAATTACTGCTCACCACCGGCTCAGCCGCCTGCCTCATCATCGCCGTGGTGACACAGATGGATCACAGAACTAATGTGTCTGTAAAAGAAAATACATAAAGCTCATTTAGAAACCTTAAAATATTAGCTACAAATACCTTCAAAGCTATGCACTGAATGTGTTATGGTGGCTGCCAGAATTGTAACTAAGATATCACATTTCAAATTATAGAAATTTCAATGAGCGGTAGCCTACTTGGTACTTTTCAATTAAAGAGCACATACTATTTATTACTATTTTATACATTACTATTTTCTGATCTGTGTTATAATGTATTTTCCTCATCAAAAATATACCTGGGGTTCTGTTTTGTTTCATTCACAGATGTTTAACACACAAACTCATATTTAGGCTTTCTCTCAAGCAGAAAACACTCCAATCCACCCTGTGATATATACAAGGTACATACACCTTCCCTAGAATCATATGAAGTGTTCAGCACTGGAATTGCCAGTCTCTACTAAATAAAAGCTAAAAGGTAGCCATTAACTTGAAAACTACCACTAGATGACATCACAAGGTGGAACAAAGCATTCTGAGCTTTTGGAGATGTAGACAGAATAATAATAAAGAACTACTCAAACATGTAAACTGAAACAAAACACAGTTCCCAGGTATGTTTTTGATGATGTAACATCATTATAACATGGTTTAAAGCTCACAAAAATCAATTTTGTGTAATATAGGACCTTTAAACATGTAACAAAAGGCAAAATGAGCTATACCAGTGGCTCTGAAACCTTTGACATAACCTGAGAAAATATTTGGATTCCTGAATATCACTCGATCAGGTCTATAATAGGACCAAATTTAGGAGAAGCATGGTTTAAAACAGATGTTAACAAAAATCTGGATAAAGAGAGATAAAGGTATAACACCTAACCACAAAAGATGGTAAAATATATAGGGACTTGTCATAAAAATTGATTTCAAACAGAACACACATTCACTCATGTTAAACTAATCAACACATTTAACTACTAGTTTGCTTTCCCTGAACTCACAACAGCTCCATTACATTGTAAGTATACAACCAGCAATTCTACTTTGTTCATAACTGTGTTTAAAATCTGGTCGTCAGTAAACAAATGAACAATCCCACCGTGGCAAGACCTTCAGATGAGCTCAAAGTACATTAGAGTTATGAGGCAGGTTTTGGAGCTTCACACTTCATTTATTATTGATCAGAGTCAGAGAATTACCACAGAAAATCAATAAACCTGAGAACTCCACCGCTCCAACAGACCGCAAACCTCCCGCAACATCTCAATCAAATAGTGCCCTTATGAGACTTTCTCTGTCACTTACCAAATTGGATCAAGGCAAATATATTTTAAAATATTGAAAGGAGTAATAGTTCAAGAATGCATAACCACTCCTAAAGATGATAGAGTTGCTCCCTCTAGTGTTTTGAAATGTTATATGCAAGAGTCTATAAGAGCAACCTGCAAAGTTTAGAGTGAGTGAGTTTGAGTTTGAACATTTAAAAAAATTAAGAAAGCAAAACATAAAGTCTCCATACATTCAAAGACATTCAAAACATGTAAATTTAATGAATAGAAAGAACAAAATAGTTAAAACATTCAATTTCTTCTTTTTTCTTGATTAATTTTGAAGAGTTAGGTCATATTGATCTATGGAAGATATTATATTATTTGTCATGAAAATGTGTTTAACTGCAACAGGAATTCAGTTGATAGTAGACAGTGGATAATTTTAAGATGATGATATGCTGGTTCATCATTTCTAACTAGAAATGGGAACTGTGAGGCTTTGGCATTTGACAAACAATAGCTCCCTCTTGTGTCTGTCTTAAAAGCATTTTCAAAGTGTCAAGTACTACACTAAACTACTTACTAGGAACTGAAAAACATATTCATATTCATTAATTTTCATGTGACATTTTTCTATTATGCATGCCATTTTAAAAACTTTTAAGCATACAGAAGATCTAATATTTTGAATCAATTGCTATGTTCTTTCTTGCTGTAAAGGTGGGAGATACAGACAGTATCTAAAACAGTCTAAAAAAAATTGAATATCATGTATCTTGACAACTTTATAATGTTTCACTTTATAATATAATACATTTCTGATGGACTGACTCCTTAACATAATAGAGATGGTAATTTCTGTCAATATCACGCTCACACCTTTTAAATTTCTATGATAATTTTCTCATTCATCTGAAAACTGTGGATAGGACCAAACCTGAACTGACCCCATGTTTTAAACTTGAGCAATGTTTTAAAGCTCAATAATGCTGGACGACTGTGAAACAGCATCTTATTGGCCGTGGCTTCATTCACAAGAAGCTATGTGGAGGTGATAAGTGCAGAGCAAATGTGGCCAATGTAACGTAACAGGGATCCAGTTTTAGGACACTCACTTGTTTGCTCATTTTGTTCGGGTCAGGAGGTTCAGTTGTACTCAGGCAGCACATTCTTCGGTTAGACTTCTCAGAACCAAGTGTGGGGTAAGGCCCTGGCGACGTGGGCTCTCAGGTCCGGGTGTCATGGAGGATCTGGTATCAGCCATGGTCTCGGTGTCCAAGAGGAGTAAATCACATGCTTTTACATGTCTCTCACACACACACACAGAAACATCAGTAGTTAGGTATCACAGGAGGAGGGAGATGATGATATGGCATGGCATATATAGTGTTTAAGACAACTTTTGGAATACTGTAAGAATTATAATCTAACATAAAATTTTTGTTCAGAGGTATATGCTATTTCTATACATCTCAAAATCATCTTTCATAATTTGTATTTTTACAAACAGATAGATATAGTCTAATTTAAACTTAACAAAAAATCAAACACACATTTTGAATTAAATGTTGAATTTGATACTATATATATATATATATATATATATATATATATATATATATATATATATATATATATATATATATATATATATATATATATATATATATAATCTACAGACCATAATTGTGCTTGTGCAATGTGAAAGTTTTTATAGATTGTATTTATGCCTTCAATTATTATATGAGTGCTGTCCTTCTTAAAGGGTCTGTACCTGATTTAAATATATTCTTGATAAGATACATGCTCTTTACAATCTATTCTAGTGTGTAATTGCAGTTGTATTTATTTTTACTCACTATTTGATTGATTGGGACTCAATGCAATTAAAGTGCTTTACAAATAATCACTAACATCATGTTATGTTAAAGTCTAGAAAAAATTATTCCCGCGTGTCTTCTTTTCTTAAGTAATTCCTGGACAAATGTCACAACGGTCAACAAGTAG